ACAAGGCAAGGAATGGGAACTGCAAAGGACAAATAAAGTCCCATCTCTCAGGAACTGTAGAGTCTCTGAAAGAATAAAGACACTGAACTAAGGGCTGGGGATTTAGCTCAGTGGTTCCGGTGCCTGTCTCACAAGCGCAACGTCCCGAGTTTGATACCTGGTACCACCCTCCCAAAAGAAGATATTGAACTAATTTGACAATTGTTTTATTATATCTAATATACACAAGAAACTATCAGTGGATAATGAAGAGTTCTAGTCTTTTATTACTTCTAGGGATTTGACTTCACATTCAGAAAGTAGAAAATCCCCTAAATGCTTTACTATGGCACAAGGATGAGAGAAGATGGAAGACAAGCCATTAAAACATTCAGGAGCTTGCCACCTTAGTGAATGTTATGGCTTGTATCTAGATGTCCCCTCAAAGCCTCATGTGCTCATAGATAGGGATTTTTGGAGGTGACTGGACCTAGGGTGTGCGAATGTGGATTAAGGGTATGGTAGTGGGATTAAAGGTGTGTGGTACTAGATTCATCCACTAATTGGTTTCATAGTTCTGGGTGTGGGCACCGGGAAGCCCCACCCTGGGTATGGGTAGCATCACCAGAAAGGTTTGTAGCCTGGATGGGGTAAAAGTGAAAAGGAGACTTGCTGGTTAGTGCTTCCTGCCATGCCATGAACTGTTTCTCCTCTGCCAAGTCCCTCTGCCATGCTGCCCTGCCTTCGAGCCAGGGAACTATAGACTGAAACCTCTACAAGCTGTGAGCTAAAATAAACCTTTCCTCTTTGTGGCTGTCAGGTATTTTGTCCCAGCAACGAGAAAAGTAACTAAGACAGTGAAGTTTCTAGGCGTCCATTAGCCAAGCAAATATACAATATTTATACCAAGGTGAAGGGCAAGGTGCTTTAGTTTGCATACTCTATCACTGAGAAACGTGAAGACCACTTTGGATTCCAGAGGGAACACACACTCTTGTTGAATGTTATTTGAGTCATTTATTGAGAAACCCACAGTGATGATTGAATTCCAGAGCAACTGGAGGCTCTGAAGCAAGTCTGAACTCCATGCAAGCTGATCTTGGACCATGACTCAGTGGTGCTTCAAATAGCAGACTGCAATGTTCTCACAGTAGCAAATAAAAATGTCACGACAATATCCTCAGGATTTTGGGGAAGAAAGCAGTCTTCTTCTGTTGATAAGTATCACCCTTTTGAGAAATGGTTTTTGGGCCTGGTACTATGCTGTCAGGACTGAATACCTGAATATGAGACACCAAGTAATCATGTTAGCTAAGGAGTTTACCTGACTTACTGGGTCACAATACTATAAGTGGGACATATAAAGTAAGAGTTGAGCAGTTCCCAAAGATACAAGTTGTGACTCAAAACCTATGGCAATTACTTCTGAGGCAATGATATATCTCCCTCTCTCTACACCTATGGCCTCATGGAGAATCTCACAAGGCATGTGACTGAAGAAGAGAAAATTCATTTTCAGATACTTCTTCACATATTAGAGCAGCCCAAAACAAGATGGCTTTAGCATTACAGTCTCACTTACAAAGAGCTCTAAAGGATTGAGATGATACATTCTCCAAGTGGGTAGAACATCAGATTGTGCATATAGTTGTCCATTTAGACTAGAAGAAGATACAACCAGTGGAGCAGCTCTACACTGATATGCGGAGAGTGGCAAATAGTTTAGTCAGATAGTCAGGGACTCTTGACAAAAATTATATATATGAACAAATTATAAAGGAATTAGCAAAATTTAGAAATTTATGATAAAGAGGTTTGGGGGCAAGGGTATGAGGAAAGATTTCTCTGAGTAGGCATAGATTCTGGTGCTGTGTTCTATATGAATGCTGACAAAAGGGCATCCACTAAAGGAAAGATTCTTGCTAATCAGGGGGACAAAACATTCCATTCTATGGCTACTAGTGAGGTTCTTCTCTTAACCATAACAATGCTAGCTCAAATGGACTCACAAATAATGTGGCCATAGAGATCATACCTATGTTCAATAACATAGGTTTTTATCTCCAACTCCCCAAGCTGATCTGGCTGAAATTATTACTAGGTACCCAATGCTTCAGCAGCAGAGGCCAAGGTGAACCAACAAGCTATCTAATAGTAGGATGTTTACAATGGACTCTTCAAAATGGTGACAGTGGTTTGTTCTTTGGCTGCTTCAATTTCTTCTTCCACTCTCCTTAGACAACTGTTTGCCTTATTTACTTTCATGGCACCCCACTTAACATTTGTGGTAGATTTTATTTTCTAAAAATGGAAAAATAATCTCTTTTGCAATGTGACTTCACACTCTCCTGTGGAACTCTCTCCATTCCCTAGAGCTTGGGCAAGTGCCAGGACAGTATTGACTATTTAATATTGCAAAGCTGATGCTGTGCCCTTAACTGGCCTGATCCCCCACTTCCTGTCACTTGGAAGCCAGTTCCCATGTATGACTTCCTGAGATTATATATTATGAAAAACCCAGGATCCTGTATGAAATGCCACATAAAGAGAGAAGAAAAGAGAATCAAGACACCAGAAACAATCTTGGATATCCAGGCCAGTCAAACCTTCAGATGACTTCAGCTCCAGGTATTATCTGACTACAAGTGTAAAACCCTAACCCCTCACCCCAGCTGGTTGCAATTAATGTACAGACCTGTAAGAAATAATAATGTTTTAAGTCACTAAGTTCCTTTGTTACACAGAGATGAATAACTAGTATATGATATCTGCCTGAAGAATTCATTTTTTCAATGAAAGGAACAGGCTTTGTGCCCATAGGATTCACTGATCATAACACATACTCCATCGTTTTGAAGCAGCTCGTTTAATACAGTGGAATGACCTACTGCAGAATCAATTACAATCTAGATGGGACAGCACATTGTGGGTTGCGGTGCCACACTATAATAGAGAAATAGAATCTAAAGCACCATGCAGCACAGTATGTCATATTTTCCATAACTGGAACACAGATGTCTAAGAAACAAGGAGGAGAGGTTTCTATTACCTCTACCCCTAATGGATAACTCACAAGTCTTTTTGCTTAACAAAGTAAAAGAGGTAAGGATTCTGAGTTGTCTGTTGGAAACTTGGGATCACTGTCACCCAGACATCACCATTATCCCTTTCTAAATCTTATACATCTAATACAGTAGCCTGCTATCAAAGAGCACAAGATCCTCCAAGCAGAAAAAAAAAAAGGCCATTATTTTCCAGGAGACAGTTTCAAGTAGAAGCACGTACAGACAGCCAATATGAGGTCTGTCACACACCCAGATGTGTTTCTTGAGAAGTACTTGAGTAGTGCTGAAAAGCACTTGAGTAGAGAGAGCTGGTGGAGCCTTCCAAAAGTTCTTGAGATTCACAGTAGCTTATGGACAAAGTATAATTACTTGTTCTCCTGCTGAAGTCTGAGAAAGTTGCTGCCAGGCTCCTTTTACTACCCTCCACTCTCAAAGGGTATGTAAGCCCAAGTGACCTATTTTAAACTCTTTTTATCTAGAATAGAATGTGATTGCTGTTTTCCTGACAGGATCTTAACTGAGAGCCTTTACAACACACTAATCTTTTATTCTGCAAATTTACCTAACATTCAGCTCAGAGAACTGTTTCACAACAAAACAGGGTAAAGAAAGGAGAAAAAATTAGAGCTAGGCAATCACGCTCACTATTGGCATTCAGATGCCAACCATCCTGAATCTGAAATCACTTGACAAACACTGTAAGACTGGTTAAATTTACTACTGAAGTTTGGCCACCTTTCAATTCCTAAGATTTGCTAAGTAAGCTCTTTTCTTCTTAGGCCTTTACACGTTTCCAACACAGTGAGGCTTTTCCCCTGCTTTTCACAGGGAGAGTTCATTCTCCTCTTTCATTTGTTCACTTAAATAACATCACCTGGGATGGATTTCTCTGACCACACTGTCTAAAGCTATCCCTTTACCCCCCGAGTGTCATCATCTGTACCTTGCTTTTGCCTTTTGTGCTATATTTTACAATTTTTTTCTATATATTTGTCTATTTACTTGAAAATTGTCTCCCATCAGACTATGAGTCCCACAGGAGGGCCCTGGCTGTCTTCCACTGTTGGACACCCAGCAGCTAGCACTGTCTTATATGCAGTAGTAAAATTTATGGAATAAATAAAACTGCTTAGAGTCATGTTCTCTCAGGGATAATATTTATCCTTCTCCCACAAATCTAATATATCATCTTTTTCACTGTTTTTTTTTTGTGTGTGTGTGTGGTAATGGGGATTGAACTCTGGACCTTGTGCTTGCAAGGCAGGCACAGTGCCGTTGAGCTAAATCCCCGGCCCTTCACTTTTTTTTTTACAAGATGATTTTTGGGGACTTAACCCAATAGAAACTAAAGCACCTAAAGTTAGTAAACACCAGTTAGGGAGTTACTCTTTTACATTCCTTCCCCAGACTATCCATCTCTACAAACATAATACTGCAAATTAAGAGCATAATTCAATATTTAACAAAGTTCATTTGCTATGGGTAATTTTGGCCTGATGTTAATTTTGATGGCTCTCAGAGGTTGCTTAAAACTTGGATATAGGAAGAAACTGGGAAATATGAGGTTTATATTATTTTTTACAAAATTTCTGAATTGAAAAAATGACTTTATCTTGTGGTGCTAGGGATTGAATCCAAGGCTAACACATGCTAGGCAAGTGCTGTACCTCTAAGTTACATCCTCCATCCCAAAACAAGTTTTCTTGAGAAAAGAGAATAGGAGATATATCCTTTATTCTTAGTCAGATACCAAAGAGGTCTCAGATTGAACTTCTGTAGTTAAAATGAAGTTCCTATACTTTAAAATTTTTTTCAATTATAAATTCTGAAGCTCAGTCTATGGTCATCATCTCTGTCATAATCACACTGAAAAAAAAATTAGTCACCCATGAAAAGGCCTATTACTAAGAAAATTCCTATGACAGGTTGACATCTTCAGCACTAAGAAACACTCACTGCATCACGGAGAGGTACTGAGCTGCCAGGATCTCCATATTCAGATTCTAGATTGGCTCTTACTTGCTCAAAATGTTTTTCTCTTCTTTTCTAAAGATTACATCATGGATCTCCTGGGCCTCTGTGATAGGAAGAAACACGGCAGAGGAAAACAATATTTTGGGACTATGAAATACCAAGTAAATAAAACATCACTTAGCAACAAAACCCATTTGTTACCAGTATCCTCACTCCCTTATCGTCATGAACTTTACCATTAGCAGAAGCTTGTCATTTAAAGTTATCTTCATTATCACCTTGATGACTTTGTCAGTTGAAAAAAAGCTCATGATTTAACTAGGAGATTAATTGTAATTGCAGTAGCAGTAGAATGTTTTTAGAAGTGCCACATAACAGAATATCATATTCAAAGTATTTAGCTTAGTCTTAGCTTACTATGGTGTTTTAATGACTAGTAAGATTGCTTTCTTTAGGCCTAGAAATAACTTCTATGACTAAAGTAGAAGTCATACAGCACTCCACAACATAAAGATGCTATCACACTTATTTTCTTATTTTTTAATCCCAACAGTTGGAATAAAGAAGTGCTAGAGATGTCAATTAGGTATAACAATAAATGGCAGTAGCTTTCATGATGTTTTTGTGATTTTTAAAATAGTTTTTAATGTATGAATTCTTGTATTTGAGGAAACAGGCCAAGACAAAGGGTATACCAAACATCCCAATATTGAATGTACACATTTTAAAATATGCATTTTTAATAAAAACTATAAAGATGGACATTATTCCTGTTGACTTTTCTTAAGGATTCAGAAAATGACATTGTTATGGTTTAGATCAAGGATGTCCCCCAAAGCCCTCATGTGCTCAGAGGGTGGTGCTTTTGGAAGGTGACTGATAGTGATTGGAATTGATACAGCTGACTTGCTGTTAAGAGGTGTAACATCACTTTGGGGGGTTCTGAGGGCAACCCCTGCTTCTGGGGTCTTGCTCTCACTCAGGTGAGGAATGCATAGGTGGAGCTAGGCTGACTTAAAAAACCTCCTAATGAGAATGAGAAACTCAAATAATGAAAGTAGTGTGTAACAGAGGTTTACTTATATTACAAAAGCAGGGACAAAGCTGTCCAGCAAGTTTGCTCGGCAGGGAGAGCTTGAAGTGAGCTTCTCAGGATGGTTTCCTTGCTCTACCCATTTTTATAGAGGCTTTTAGCTAATCAGGGACTTAGCCTTTGTTACTGGGATGAGCTTGTTGCTAGGATGGGCTAAGGTTTATGGAGTTTTAGGGAGTTTCCAGTGTATAAAAGTGGGACTCTAAGATTAACTTCTACACCTGCAAAGGTTTCACAAAGGGCAATTTCCAGTAACCAGGTGGTTATTTCTGTAGCTGTCTACCACATTAGCCATGCCCTACATCTCTGCCTGTCTCCCCTTCTCACCATCCCTATATTCCCTCCTCTTACTTGATCATCTTACTGTCACAGGATGGGGAAGAGGTAGGGGTCTTGTCTTTACCTCCTTGGCAGCTGACACTTGGTTGGATGTTGGGGTTTGGTCTAGTGGACTAATAGGGGAATTTGGGTAGGCATGGCAATCTGCACTAGGAGGGGCAGTGTTGCTGGCACAGAGGCAGGTATCAAAGCCAGACTGTCAACTCTAAACCACAAAGCTGCCTGAAAGCTGTGTGTTGCTCATAGCCACACAGAGCCTGCATTTTTTACCCTCTGAAAAGGGCTTGGGTCTTTTAACATTCCCCAGGGGTCCCTTCTGACCCTACAGAGGTAAGGTCTGGTGGGAAGAGCCAGTTACAGCAGGGGGCTCCTTGTGGAAAGGCCTATCTCCCTTGCGGCTCCTCCCTTCCCTCCCTGCTTTCTGGCTACCATGACTTGAGCAGGCCCTTCCACCAAGACATTTCTGTGTTTAAGCTTGTCAAACATGGATTGAGGCTCTGAAACTGTCAGAATGGCACTATTTAATGGGGACATAAGCTTGTTTTTGTAATGATACCACGTGTACATGAGAACAAATTTAATACTATTTAAATTCTGTCTTGTATAATGTTATCAGAAGACGAACATCAAACAAAAATGGAGTATTTAAGAACACATAATGGTAATGTGAGCAGAATAAAAGAGTGAAGAAATAGATTACAGATCATCTCCAAGTCACAAAAGTCATTAAAATCACCTTGATACTGTCCTTCCCTCTAAGATGCTCGACATACACATGGAACTTTTCTTTGTACAAAGTGTGGAACATTAAGAAAAGTATAACAGATCTAGAATCTGAAGATACTGTATAATCAACTGTATAGTCTTCCAGTTCCAACATAATTTAAAAATGGGTAAGTAGTATTTTATCATGTAACTAGTCATTTAAGCTGTTGATTATATTTATTAATATGTTTGTGATACATAATGAATACATTTATCATGGGGAGTGTTACATACACAAATTGGATCTTAGTCTTTCTTTTCCTTTCTCCTCCCCATCCTCCTTCAGCTCTAGAACCCCCTTCCTATCTGCAAAAGGACACCTCCCTGTTTCCTATCATCTATCTTTTATGCTCTTTATATTTTACACTTGTCATATAAGAGAAACCATGTGATATTTAACCTGTATCTGATTTAATTAGCATTATGATCTTAATATTTGTTATATTTTTATTATCAAAAAATGTGAGATCCCTGAAGTCTTTTGATAAAAATCACCCTTAATTTCTTATACCCTATTTTTATATGTATCATTATTAAGGGCTTCTAAATTTGAATTCTAAACTTTTTTAGACCTCAGTTCTTATCTGTAAAATTAAGTTGGATCAGTTCTAATATACCTCAGTATTAAAAAATTTGCGTTTTATACATAGAACCTTAATAATTGAAACAATTTTTGAAATTAGAATAACCACAAATATATAATTCAGACCTTTCAAATGACTACAGAGTGTGCATGTATGTATGTGGCGGGAGTATATATGGAACCATATGGGGAAATTATCTTTATGAAATAACAATTTTTCTTGAAGATTTAGGGACCAAGTTTCCTGTTAAGTACATATATTAGAATGAAATTCAAAAATCTCGCTAATTTTTAAGGTAAAAGTAAAGTCCCTGGGGAGGAAAAGCATATTTCTGAGGGTGCTGCCATCTTGAGTTCTGCCCCCATCAGGATTTATTTCCCACTGCTCTTAGGAAATGACACAAGATTCTGATTGAGAGATTAAGACTCACCAGTTAAGTCAAACTTGTTCTTGCTAACTACATTTCACTCATTCACTGCTTCATTCCAGAGCTTCTCATAAGTTAAGGCTTATCTGATTTCATTTCTTAAACTTGCCCCATCTTGCTTCTAAAGTTTTGTGAAACCTCCATTTTCCTCCTTTTAAAACCGGGAGGACAATATCCAATCTTTACAAATGTACCCACAGAGAATAATGGTACAGTTAATTTTTATTTTTCATTTATATTTCTCAACTCATTTTACATCCAATGGATGTTTATTTACTTCCACAATCATAAACTCTTACTTGGAATGCCACACATACGTGCCACAAGTTTGCTTTCTAAAACTTTTTTTTTTTTTTTTTTTTTTGAGACAGGGTCTCACAATGCAGTTCAGGCTGACCTTGAACTATGTAGCCCAGGTTGGCCTCGAACTCCTGGTGATCCTCCTACCTTAGCTTCCCCAGTTAAGTGCTGGAGTTACAGGCAAGCACCACCACGCCAGGCAAGTTTTTAAAAGCAATTTTTCAAGTGTCGATGAAAAAAGAACTGAACCAAAGGCAGTTTTCTATCACAAAAAGGCAAAAGAAACCTTAATACATGAAAATCTGAATTACATAATTTCAAAATCCGAATGTATTAGAGAGCTCGTTTATTTTCTACAAATATTATTTGAACCAGGACAAATAGCTATTGCAAGCCATCTCTGTCAGGACCTTGACTTTTTACTACAAAATTGACATAGCACTCACCAGACGTTGAATAAAATAAGATACACTACATACAGAAGCCTAGAAAACATTTTTACTTCCTCAGTTCAGAGGGCAAATTTTTCCTTTCCCTTCCTTTTTCTCTCTTTAAGGTCTGCTTTCAATTTCACTGGGCCCAATTGGCACGCGGGTATAAAAGGAGACCACCAACACGGGCAAACAGGGACTCCCCCTGCCGCGACGTGTGTGGACCTCGTCAGCCCTCGGGACACTAAGGCGAACAAGTTCCCGAAAACGCCCAGGACTGGGCGTCGGAAAGGACCTGCACCCCAGCGAAACTTTCCTCCAGACGCTGCAGGGGACCTGACTCGCGGAAAGTATTTTGGGTACCCTCTCTCCTCGGTTTTGAGGGGACTAAAAATTAAAATTAAAATAGCGGCCTAAGGTGACTGCAAACGAACATGTGTCTACTCGCTTGCCGAGAAACTCGGACCCCCCAGCCCGGCCCCCCCCGGCCCCCCCCCCCCGGCCACACAACAGCCAAGCAAGGAGGGCGCCACGCCCCGGCGCCGGCTGGCTCACCCGGAAGTGCTCCGCGGCGCCGGCGGCGCGCCGAAGACAGCGCGCGCGCGCGCGCCCTCTCGAACTCCTGCCCGCGGTTCGGCTCTCCCGGAGGCGCGCTCCAGCCGCCGCGGTCGCCGCCAACATGGCCGAGACCAGCGAGGAGGTGGCGGTGCTGGTGCAGCGGGTAGTGAAGGACCTCACCAATGCCTTCAGGAGGAACCCGCACATGTGAGTCGCACACCTGCTCCGCCCCTGGGGGTCGTCGGGGTGGGTGGGCGGCCGGGCACTCCTGGAGCGGAGCGGGGCGGCGGGCGGACCCTGGGTCCTGGCCCAGGAGCCCTTCGGGGAGGCAGAGCGCGGTCGGGCGGACCTTTGTCGGCGCCGCCTGCTGCCTTTCAGTTACCGGCACGCGCTGGCGGACGCGTCTCTGCAAAGTGACCTCGGAAATCCAAACAGAATGACTGTTTGACTCTCCCTCCCCGCCCTCGCTCAGGAGTTCGCGAAACTCGAACGACTTTACCCGGAGATCCTTAGCCTACGTGCGTTTGAGGTCTGCAGCGCACAACAGTATAGATCTGTCTGTGCTTGTAAGCACAACTCTTTTGAGATGCATCCCGGGCATTGCTAACAGTAGTTACCGATCTTATTATTATTAACGGGGAAAAACAACAACAACAAAACAACCCAAACCTTCAGTTCACTAACTTTATAAAGGTACTCTGAGGCTACTTTTGACTTTCGCCTCACTTGTCATTAGCTTTTAAAGTGACTCTGGTAAACCATTATGTTTTGAACGTGAACAAATCATTCTCAAGACTGTGACCTCTTTAGTACAATGTGTGCGGAATAAAGCAGATGAAACCTGAACACTTTTTAGCATAAGCTGATTCATAGTTACAAGGGAGTGTATTAACACATTTTTATTCCTGTCCTGCTGCCCACTTTATCAGGACACCAAAGAAGTGAAACACATCTCTACCTCCTTCATTTCCATTTTGCTTGGAGTAGTCTGTGAAGACAGCACAATTCTGTACGCTTTCTGACACTTTCCCTTATTTGACGAGTGAAAAGGAAGCTATTAGAACTTGTCTACAACATTATAAGAAGCAAGAGATAGCTCCTTTCCCATCCCTCTTCCTCCCCTGCGGAAACACTCTGGAATCCACTTTGGCATTGTTTTCACTTTGTTTATGGGATTTATTTTTAATAATTTATCCCTTAAAGTGGAGCACATGAATTAGTCTTTTTAAGCATTCCAACTCCTTCAGCTTTTTTTTTTTTTGCATGAAGTGTCAAACCTACATCTAAATAAAGTGTTCTTTTCCACCAGGATGGTGCTTATAAGAGAATTAAAGAAGCCCTCATGTCTTGCTCCCTTGTGGTACACAGTTGGAGACCTGCAACTGTGCTTGTTAAAAACAAAACACTGCTGACCTCAAAACACACCTGCTACCTCTGACAGTGTCTTCTTCCTTTCCTCTTAGGACTGCTGCCTTTATGAATGGAATGATTTCCTGGCAGTAATGGAGGTTGTTGGGCTTTCTAAAGAATGCTTTGATCTATATTGTATGTCAGTCTCTCACTATAAGAACCACCCCCCCCAAAGTTGGGCAAATGAAGGACCTGTTTTCTGATCATTGGCATTCATTTTCTAGAAGAAATACAGAAGAGATTAGAAATCTAATACAGTAATCACTTTAGTTTCTCATCTCTGACTTAGACTAAAGGAGTATAATTATATTTGAAAAAACTGAGGTTGTTAGCTGGTTTGTAGATTGACAATGCAATTTGAAACACATCCCAGTTCTTCTGGAGTCTCATCAAAATTCATAAAGGACTTTAATATTCTTCCTTTGCATTTTTACTGTGAAATTTCATTAACATATTCTCTATCAGTATATAATTTATAATAAGCATTTGGATCATTCAAGATTTAAAAGCTTGAAATAGGTGGGTATTTGTAGTTTGAAATAATATGAATTATAGGTCTTTAATTCACAATTTAATAATACTCAATATCTGTATTTTAGTACCCACTCCTTACAGTAAAAATATTTTCAATAATTTACTATGCATAGTTTAAAATGTCTTGTAATGGAATTTTCAGAAAAGTGTTGTTTACCTTTAAAGTTAGTATCTAATTACAGTGTTACAAATTTAAATTTTTTTCCTGTTTTTCTCCAAATATGAGATTGTAATTTTGTCAACATCTATTTTATTAAATACATTGACTTTGTCTACATAAAAGCATCCAACCAGAAGCAGCCAAGATGCATTGAGATGTGGAATTTATTGCTGCCAGCCTTAGTTTCCTCTTGATCTTGTAAGGTTGATGAGAATGCAGGAAAATCACATCACACAGTCGTACTTAGTTGCTCCTTGATGATGAATGTGAAGCACTTGCAAACTGGTAAATACCATATAAATGTTGTTTGTAAAAAAAAAAGCAAAATGTTGTTGAGTCTCCATACAGTTGACTCTTGGAGAATCCTACTTGACCCATGGATGATCTTTATCTTAGAGTACAGATCCTGTGTTAATACGGAAGACAACTGTTCACAGTGTAATTAGGTCATGTTAAAGTTCTCTTACCCAACAAGTTGTGGGTTTTTTATTTTACTTTATTGAATATGTTTTTGTTTATTGAAAATTTTTTTTTTTTTGGTACTGGGGATCGAATGCTGAACCTTGTGCTTGCAAGGCAGGTGCAGTGCCACCAAGTTAAATCCCCAGCTCTGTTTATTGAATCTTCAATTGCTTTTTGAGTTGCTAAAGGTACCATCTTCACTATATAGGATAGAAAGAAGTATAAAATAACTTCTTATACTGAAGACATTCAAAAATTTTCATGATGTTCGAAATACTCTATTATCTGTGCTGTACTGTTCATGTGTACTTATTAAGCACTTGAAATGTACTAAAGTGATTGAGGAACTGTATTTTTAAATTTAGTTTCTCTATATGTAATGGTTCTATATGCCCAGTGACTAGTGAATTTCAAGGTTTGCATCTAGATGGAGGCCTAAAACCTACCTACATGAACAGTAAATTAATTCTGCAAAGCAGTTTAGGGTAAAGGTTGTATTGGCAGTATGGTGAGCACTTGCTGAGTCCCTTAGGAGTAGAGAGGAGGCTGGGTAAATCTGGGGCAGGACTCTTACAAGGTCTTACAAGTCAGAGGGAACCAAAGACCTGTACTGGGAGCAGGGAATTAATTGATCAAAAGTAGCAAAATGTGATTTAGAGGATACTATAGAACAGATTATGAAAATTCTTGACTCTCTGGCCTAATTTCTTTTGTTCTGTTCATACATTGAACAAAAAAGCCTCTTTTTGATAACATGATACTACTATCTGAATATACTATATGGGGCTGGGAGCTGGGAATAGATTGGTAAACAGAATCGACATAGTCCTTATCCTTACTGGAACTTTAAATAATTCAACACACAGATTGAGAAGAGGCAAAAAGGGTAAGAAAGATATTTTGAAAAAAATACTAACAGGGAAGCCTTATTTAGTTGAAGCTCAAGATAGTTCTTTCTGAGGAAATAGCACTTAAATTGAGACATGAGGAATGAATAGTTGGCTTACGGAGAATATACCTTCTAAGCAGTAGATAGGCTCTAATGAAAAATTTTCAGTAAGGAAATGGTAATAAACAGTAGTTTTAGTTTGCCTAGAGATTGAACTAAAGGATAGGAAATCAGAGAGTCTAATAGTTTTCTTACATTTGATTTTTATTTACTTGTATTTATTGAAACAGTGGTATAGTTGTGAAAGTTTGGATTCAGAGTTTGAGAGTCCCGGATTTGAGTTTGTGTTTTAGTTTGTGTTTTTCCTAAGTTTTCCACCTTTTTTCTGTTTTGTTTTGTTTTATTTTGGTGCCAGGGATCGAACTTGGGACGTTGTGCTTGCAAGGCAGGCAGCAGAACCACTGAGCTAAATCCCCGGCCCTTTCCACCTTTTTTTGAATGTGAAGTTAGAATTTAAACTTCCAGACACCCAGAAGGAATTGCTCTAAATACTGTTTTGCTCTTCGATCTAATGAGTAGGGTTTGAGGATAAGTATCAGGAGGCCCAGATTCTTAATTTAGCTAGCAATATGATTTTAGGTAATCCCTTTAACCTCATTGGACCTCAGTTTCCTCATCTGGTAAAGTGAAAACCTAGAAAGAGGAGGCCTGGAATTCTATTCAAAATTATCTGAAAAAGTGGACTATGATCTAAGGGCATAGGCGTGGAAGTCTGAAATCAAACACATTGTTACTTGGAAAATTACTGATCTACCTATCTTTATAAAGTAAGTATTATATATTTTAGGAAGCAACAAACCAATATATGTTGGGGTCATATAATTTGACGAAGACTGTTTGCCTCAGCTTCCCCATTATCTGCTAACCAAGGAACTTTACTGGCTGACCTGCATGCATTCTTTAAAGGAATTGTTTGGTTTTTGTAACAAATGGGGAAGATACTACTCCTGTGCTTTAGATGAGGATCCTGATGCCAAATAACTTAACAAATTCACCTTGACTGTCAGTGGTAAAAGAGACTGATTACATTTCCATTCCAGTTTTTGTCTGCACAGTCTACTGCTACTCTTTTCATGTGTTTTTGTTTTTGTCTCCTGAAGCTTGACATTCTTCATTATAACTTTTTTCATTTTCCTAACATGCAAATAACTGCTGAGTTTCTCTCGTAAAATTTGAAAGCTGGATAAGATCTACCCTATTTGCTTTATTGGAGATATAATGCAATTCCACTTTTCTATAAATGAAGAAACCAAGATCTGTAGAAGCCAGAGTGGCATGATATATGTCCAATGTTGTTTTCAATACAGGGTGTTACAAAAAAATCAGGGGTAATGTTCTTTTGTAAGGTTAAGAAGTGACAACATTTGTAAACGATTTGAATAGTATTACTGAAGTATTAGGATAATCAGCTTTTCTGGGAGCAATTATTGAGTACCTGCTATCTCCGAGGCCTTTTTGTTTTTAGAAGGGTAGTGTGTTTTCTAATTGTGTGGATGGCTTTGTCATGTAATTTAGGTCCCAAATTAGTAGTTGGTCATTTTATTTCTGGTAGAACTAATGCTTTTACATTGTGAATTTAATTTAAAACAGACTATGCCCAGAAGCCAGGATTATCTTATTCTTCTTACTATAACATTTATCCTTTTGGCTTTCGCAGTTCTTTGAAGTGTAGTAAGTAGTTATTAGATCTCAGAAGAAAGAATTTTCTGAAAAATTAGGTTGAGGATATTTTCTTTAATTCTTTTGTTTTGTTTTGTTTTTTAATTCTTGTTTTGTTTTTTAAGTGTTCTACTTTATATAGTAAAACCTGAACACCAGAAACTAGTAGATTGTCATATATTAGTCAGGTATACTAGATACAGATGGTTACCGTAATAGTGAGTTTGATTTATTTCAAGGTATTAACCAAATATAAATGGAAATACATATTTTTAAATACAACTGGAGGGGCAAAATGATAACATTAAATTATAGGTACTGACAACTCTTCAAAAAACTGCTAACTCTTTGAAGTCTGAGGCCACTTTATTTCATTAATTTTTGCATTTTGAGAACCTAAAAGTACAGTGCAGATACTAATATATGACAGTACCATTGACAAGGTATTTGGGAAAACCTTTGAATCTACTGAATGTGTTTGTCAGGACAGAATACCTTTTAGAGTTAAATTAGTTTGAAAGAATTTTAGTGACTTCTATCCTTCAAGGTACCCATTGTTACTGACATATCTCCTTGTCACTACTGAAGTGATCAGTAGAAAGTAGGTTACCTCTGAGCTGTCTGGTTTTGAGTTTCCAGGAGGAATTTTGTTGAAGATCAACCACTTTCTCCAAATTTATGACAGTTGGCCTAACAAGACAAAAAAAAAAAAAGATTTGTTTTCTTATAACCTGTAATTGAATTGGTTTTCCCAGATTATATTTATTATATTTTGACAGTGGAATTCCAGTGACATAAAATGTAGTGCTACACACAAACTCTGAAACATCAATTTTTAATTTTTTTTTTAAAGACATATTTAAAAATCTGTAAACATTCAAAATACTATTTATTTCAACTATTCTTGTTGGTAAGAGATTTTAGTAAGAAATTTCTCTTTGAGAAAGGATGCTCTGTGAAAGCAAGAATTGTAGCTTTATAGTTGAAGCGTGTGTGTAGGTTATGCAAAAACATTTTTATGTTTGTTACTTTGCTTACTGTGTTAAGTCAAATGTACATATTAGTTATTAAATCTCTGCCGGCAGTGTAAGTTTTCAGCTTATGTTGAGGTGGATTGAAGGATACAGATGTTACTATAGATCAAAATGACCAAATTCTGAAATGAGTTTTGTGTTTTGACATTTATTAGGGTATTTTTTTAAAATATAGAAAAGTATAGAGGAAACAGAGACATAAATCTTTTACAGATGGGAAGGGGACCAGATGGAGGAAGGGAGGAGGGAAGAAAGGGGAAGAGGACATAAAAAGAATTAAGATGTGTTATGTACATGTACCCACTCTTCACAGTGAATGGAATCATGTACTGTAAACATTTACTAATAAAAATAAAAATTTACAAAACACTAAATTCAAAAAATATAGGAAAATTATCATAGCAACATAATTTTAATTGATAATTTGTTTCTGTTCCACATTTATTAGCAGGCAAACATGAACATTTGTTTGCATTTTTAAAAAATAGGAATAATACAAATGACTAAACAGTTTAAATTCTATAAAAATAAAGTCCTTCCTTAATACGTCCCTGTCTCCAACAGTTTAATAGTCTTCTAAAATTTAACATCTATATATCTTTTAAATAAGAAATGATACAAAAGGCTTTGTGCTATATATTGTGTTCTGTATTCTGCTTTTTAATTATTCAGCATACCTTGGCAACCTTTCTATACCAACATATGCAGATCTACTTAATTTTTTTTAATAGCACATGGATGGGCTATACATTTTTTCAGTCTTACATTAATAAACATTTAGATTGGTTCCTGTTTTGTTGCAGTGAACATTCATATATTTTAGGATATGATAAATTTTGGTCAGTGAAATTATTGAGTATTATTATAGTACAGTATTTAAAATTTTGAAAGCTATTTCAAATTACCACTCGAAGACGAGATCATTTTTTCCTCTTGGTGGAAGTAATCCATCACACTTTTTGCCATATTCTTGTCATTACCACCAAATTTTATAGTTTTCTTTTTTTAATTTTTACTATAGTAGGTAAGCTAGATATTTTAAAGAAAAGAAAATATGTGGGGGCTTTTAGAAAAATTTTGAAAAGGCCAGTATTATTTTTAATTCTTTGTTATGTTTTATATATTAAGAGATGAAATTGGCCTGATTCCATGTCCTGAAGCAAGGTATAATCGGAGTCCCATAGTCCTGGTTGAAAACAAACTTGGTGTGGAGAGCTGGTGTGTCAAGTTTCTTTTACCATACGTCCACAACAAACTCCTTTTGTACAGAACAAGAAAGCAATGGCTGAACAAAGATGGTAAGTATGAACCCTATCTTCTGGTTTTTAGAAGCAGCATGGAATATAGTAGAAGGAACCCCGGTCTGGGTGTTGAGATTCTAGTTTTGGCTCTTCCCTTCTCTGCCTGATCAAACTTTCTTGTCACGTGAAGAATTTGGGCTAGATCATTAGTTTTCAAATTTTACAACTTCAGTGATTATATGGCAGTGCCTTAAGCACAGATTCCAGGCCACCTACTACAACGAAAGCAGTTCTATTCATGTATTGAGATCATTTGTAAGATTTTATTTGAAGAAAGCATCCATTCTTTAAAAAAATGCAGGCTTAAAAAATGTTTGACTATCTTGGAAAAGACCTATATTCCCTATAAGCGCAGCTTCTGATTTCTGAACTTTTAGTGTTTTTGTAGCAGTCTGATTGAGATCATGGAGATATCATCATCATGGTGTAATTATGGTATGAACCAACCCAATGATTTAGGAATGTGCCATTGCGCTGTGAATCCTAGTTGAGCTCTGGCCTTCTGAGTCCTATTCCTGTGCTGAAATGAGCAAAAGAAAAACCATCTCAACATTCACTTCTTTTATTCTTCTAAACAATTCTTTACTGCAGCAGAAAATTCCTACTTATCCTACCTATACAGTTTTCTTGGTGTTCCCCCATATTCAGCCTTCATGTGCACAAATTCTGTCCATCCCTTTGGGCTCACCTCAGGTCTCACCTTTTTGGGGAGTACTCATCTAAGACTGTGTCCACTGTGGTTTTTGTAAAACTTCTTTCTCTTTCCACATACAGCAGTACCTTTAAAAGTGCTCCTTGTGGCTGTAGGGTGATTTTTTTTTTTTTTTTTTTTTTTTGCGACAGGGTCTCACTGTGTAGTTGAGGCTGACCTTGAACTAACTGTATAGTCCAGGCTGCCCTGGAACTCCTGGCAATCCTCCTGTCTCAGCCTAAGAACTTCATTTCCCAGAGAATGTAATTACCAGCTTGATAGCCATTACCAAGAGCCTACTCATATCAGAAGCTATTCTAAGTACTCTGGGGGATAAGAAATGAATGATAAATGGTCCCTTTGTTCTGGAAGTTTATGGTTGAGTGATAGTCTCCTTAGGGGTAGGGGATAGTGTTGCCAAAGGTATCACTGATTTCCCTGAATTCCTCTCAACACTGACCTTAACATACTGTCATAAGGGGTTAAGTACCACTCTTCCCTGTTTAGGCCATGAAAGTGTTTAATTAGAAATAGTTTCTATTTTCTGTGTGATTGTTGCACTTGGTTAGTACTCTGGTACTAATGAGAAGGCTATGCCTAAACTCAGACATAATTTGATTGCATGACCTAAGTGTATGGCATAATCTGTAATGTGTAAGTTTAGACACAGACCTAAATGTAAGGGTATTTATCTTTATTTAGATCTTTATTTCTCTAGTCTATCATCAAATCATAGGTTTCAGTAATATGGAGGTAGAAAGTACCACCATATGAAACCACATTTTTTTGCCAAATGAAGCTGTATCATTTGTATTCTGCTGCACAGAAATACATAATTGGCCCAATACATAACTAACTGTTATGTGGGGGTCAAGGAGAGATAGAATGATTCAATATGGAAGAAACAATACAAATTTTTAAAAGTCAGGTTGAGTTACAGTATTTCACAACATTAGCTTTTGCCTGTTTATAGATGCTAGCCCAACCTGTCATCTTCCTATAGTCATCAAGCTCTCCTTTCCATTTCTATTTCTTGTCCTTCTGGGCTCTGTACTACAGGCATTACTCTGTCTCCTTGTCACATACTTTTAGTCTTGATAGACCCAGGAGGGCTTATATAGATGATCAGACACTTAAGCTTGCTCACTCACTTGAGTATCTGTTATCATAACTTTTGAATTCTGATACAACTGTGCATATGCACAGAAGCAAGGTTTGATTTTATTTTATTCTGTATCCTCATGGAATCAGTTTTTAATTTCACTTTTTTGAGGGAGCAACATAGTTTAATGTGGTATCACCTACTGTTCAGCTTGTTATGTTATCAGTAAAAATGAGTAAGTAAATTTCTGACTTGACAGAAAAAGATTTCTGAAAATGCTGACTGATGGAAGAGTATCTACCAGACTTATGAACCAAAGCAATTAGAGCACCGAGGTAAACCTTGCTAAGGAAAACATGTCAAAATTATTAGGAAAAAAAAGTTATTTCATGAACATTTCCTTTAAAACTTTTTTACAGAAAATACCATATGTCTAAGAAAAGTCATGTAAGGAAGCTGACAACTTAAAGAACTGTTCAAAATGTCAGTGTCTGCATTATTGATCAGGCTAGAATCCTAAGCATCTATGTAAAGGTGACCTTTATTTCTGGGGGTATTTTTTTCTCTTAACTAAACCAAATTCATGCTCTTATAACCATAGCAGGTTCCTTAGATGTTTAGAAAGCATTTAATTAGTTAGGGATTGCCCTTTTTTTTGGTAAGGGGGATCAAACTCAGGACCTTGTGTTTGCGAGGCAGGCGGCAGCACCACTGAGCTAAATCCCCAGCCCAAGAGATTGCCTTTTTTTTAAAAGATGCTATAATAGTAGCCATATTTGGTTTGGGAGAGGAATGATACTGTAATTTGGATTTTTAAGAAATCTATGATAAAAACAAAAGGCAGGAGAAGACCCCAGCATTAAGAATACTGACTAGGCAGAGATCTGTCCCACACTGTATTTGAGTCCTGTGCCCTCCTGGTGCTTTTTACTCTTACCTTCTTCCTTACAATCCAAAATCTCAGCCTGTAGCTGAACTGTCTCTTTAAAGTCCATTTTCTGCTCTGTACTTCTTCAGCTGGCTAGGCCTTCATTATTCCTCATACAGACAAATGTTATTACCTCATACCTGGTCTGTCCCATTTTCAGGCTCTTCTGTAATCCCTGTCCTTCATACCACTAATGAAACCCTAAACAGTACCTCCGTCTTCACTTTTGGGGGTAGGGTGCCAAAGCCTCAGGACCAAACCAGGGACACTTCTTAAAAAGCTTTTGAGAAGTAGTTTTCTGAGGTACATATTTGCTCATCTTATTTGAATATATGTCTGCTCGTCTTATTTCATGATGCCTACAGGGTCAGTGTAGAGTTTAAACTTATTAACATCATATTCCAGACTGTCTGCAGCCTAACCTTTCTCACCAGTGCTTTCTTTGATTTCATAGTCAACATGAGGTTGCAGACAAGGAAGCTTGTCTATAGATGTATTTCATCTTGGTGTGTATAATGTTTTAATAATTTTTCTTAATTAGTTGAATAAATGTTTAAAATCGGGTTGAAAATCTAGGCTTCTGTCTTCACTTGAAAAATCAGGAAGCTCGTGTACACAAGTTTCTGCACAGCAGTTGGCTGAGCCTCAGTCCTCTCCTTTTCTTAAATGGGCAAGTCTTTGGCTTTACCACATCTCTTCACACCTTTCAAACACCGAGGCATAGTGTTGCTTACCACTTCTCATCTGTTTCAATTTTCTGCTTTTTTGACATTCATCTGAACTCCGCAAGCATTTGCATTTGTACCCTTTTGATACCCATTCCAGCAACATCTCACATTATTCCATTCTCTGACATGGCTATGTACTACTGTCTGACTTTCATGCTTTTGCTGAGGCCATCCTCATCTTAATGTTATCATGGGTGTGGTTGTTAGCATATATGTATGCATACATGTACAATTAGGAGGTACTGCTGGCCTTGGACCATTTCTGGAATGCAATACAGCAAAGAATACATACTAATTTTTCTCTGACTTCTGTCACATCCTGTGTCCTTTTATTATTACAGCTGGAATTTAGCTACTTCTCTTGTGTATAATGTGACCTGATTTCATTTTTTCCCTGTGACATGATGAAGGGCTAGTAATGTGTGTGTAATGAACATTTTTTTGCTGGTATTTTTCTGATGTGTGGAGACAGGCCTATTTAATGTCAAAAGATTGTGGAACTTTGAGTAGCTCATATCTTTTGGGGAAGGCTACAGAAGAAATGATACATTGTTGGCAAAATTTAGAAAGTGAATTAATTACTGTTAACTCTTGATTATATATGTTTATCTTTGGGGTTTTGGTTTAGTCCTTTCTGCAGAGGGCAGAGTATTTGCCTATAGTGTACTAAATTGGAAGGGGCATCTGCCTTCCCAGAAGACAGACCTGAATTTAAATACTCAGTTCATCAACATCTGAAAGTCACTTATCAGTGACTTTAGGCAGATTACTTAAACTCTTGCTGTTTCCACAGCAGTGGGAGGGAATACTAATCAGGATCTCCTAGACTTTCTGTGAGGATCTGGTTCTTTAATTATATCCATTGATTCCTAACCTAGTTACCTTTCCTTGATTAGCCCTTCCCTATTTCTTGCATTCCATTTTGTCCCCACTTCTTGGATGGGAACTTGGGCCCTCAATCAGGAAGTTAGGAGTTTGTAGAAGAGAAGGGCCTGTAGTTGTATGTGTTACTAATTTGGTTACTGATGATTGGTTGAGGCCGTTGATGTTTTAAATTGTTTCTAGATTCCTAGAAGTTGGAAAAAGCCCTCTGTTCAGGGATCATTGCCTAGCCAGTTGAGGTTGTTTTCCTTTCTCTAGAGGCATCCAGTCCCAGTATCACTTTGGAACTGGGCTAGGAAACACAGGCTTTGAGATAGGAATTAGGTACTTTCCTGACACTTTATGGTTCTAATCATTGAATACCCCTATCAGGAAGTATTGTTGTCAGCTACATTTTACAAATGAGGAGGATATTCTGAAGCACACACAGAGATTGATTTCCCCAAGAAGTCCCAGTAAGTGGGAGAGCTAGGCCTTAACTCCATCAGCTACTGTAGCACTCCTAAGAGCACAGCCTTTTTCTCCATATAGCCATAAATTGAAAAGTGGAGACTTACTTTCTGTGTTCATTTGTTAATATTTGCCTTAAGACAGACAGGAGTCTGTCTTTTGTGAAGGATGAGCTTGCCTTCACTTACAGTGAGTAAGGAAAGACAGTTGTGTTAAAAGTACACACAATAGCAACTACCATTAGTTACATTTTCTTTAATATAGAAAGGAAGAGGCCAAGGGAAGAGTGCCAGTTTATGTAGTAGTATAATGGCTTTTTGAAAAATTGTAAACATCGAAGAGATTCTAGAAAGAGGTTCTTTCCCATCATGCCCAAACTTTTCCATATAGTTGTTAAACTACTTAGTGGCTTTTGGTTCTTGTTATTTTATAAGTTTAGAAATCTAGATAGTTTCACTGTAGGAATAACTGCCTCATTATTTCTGATGTCTTTGATGTTGAAAATATTCATTATTGGTTGGTATGTAGCAGTGGCATTTATTTGAACAAATACTTAATTGAGCAGTCACTGCATCAGACAGCTGTGGGGATTAGAGTAAATCTCACCATGCATAACACTAAGATGGTTATCCTCAATGTACAGGTAATGAAACTGAGGTTCAAAGAGGTTAAGTTTTGTAGGAGTAAGTGGAGAAGCTGGGATTCAAATCCAGGCAGAGTGACCCCTTTGTGCTGTGGATTAATACCAGAGTTCATTTGGATGGAGGCCATGACTTACTCATCTTTACTCAGTACCTGGTTTATTGTAGATACAAAAATTTAAAGATGTATTAAGGAGGACCTGCCTTCTTAATTTGCAGTCTAATTAAGAGGATAATATTTACATAAGTAATGCAGTATGATAACAAAAAACAGATGAAAGACTTTTTTTTTTTCTCACTAGGTAGGTCCTTCATGGAGAAAGATGCACTTAAGAGTTCCTGAGATATAAAAAGTTTGTTATTACTCTTTATGTTGGAACAGAGGGAGATATTTCTGGTAGAAAGAATAGTAAGCAGATAAATCTGTTGTGTCCAGAAAGAGAAGGTAGGCAGGTAGGAGATATATTCAGAGGGTGGTGGGATTTGATTTCAGTTGGAGTTTAGCATGTGACAGAAAAATGGGAAATGCCAGGCTGATAAGATATTGGGACCATATTCTTAAAGGGTTCATTTTTAAAAGTACATTCTCTCTGCTCCCCGTGATCTCATTGAGAACAGACTGCGTGTGAAGTTCCATGCCTCCTCACCTTTGCCACACCTTTTCCATGTTCTGCAGTGCTTTTACCACCATATTCATTTAGTCTCCCATAGGTACACCAGTATAAGAATTACAGCATCTTAAATAGGCATCACAGTGTGGTATGTTCTTTTACTTCACAATTATTTCATTTTGACCTATGTAAGAATTTGTATATATGTTCTCTCCAATTAAGGGTAACCTTATAAATGGCAAAATAAGGTTTTATTTATAATTATATTCTTTTAGTCCTAAGGAACCAGTTTAATCTTTATCCATTGTCAGTACTTGGAATATTAGTGGAATTAAATGAATGTGGTATATTGTCCTTGGAAAATATTAAATTAGCACCTAAAATTAATAAAAATTAAGGAAGAGATTAATTAGATTATTTAGAGGCATATCATGTTTATGCATGTGATAACTTATGACAGGAAAAATGCAGGTCAAAAATGTATGCTGATCCTATTGTTTGTTGCTCATTATTAGATGTGACAGTATGCTCAACAGTAATGAAATCATGAGCTCAAAATAAATGTTACTATCATTTATTAAGATGGTGTGATAATAGAATAGTTGATTTTATTAACTAGAATATTTTTAAATGACTGTAGTATATACTTTTGTGTAAACACTTAAGTACTTTGTTCTTAGATTTTTAAGTTTATCCTTTACTTAAACGTGAAAAATGTCGTAATTACTTGTTGTAGACAGACAGTTGCAGTAAAATTGACTTGTTAAAAGTAGTTCAATGTTAACTTGTTACATATAATTGAATGTTTGTGCAAATTGCTTAAATGTCACTCATTTTCCCTGTCTATAAAGTAGATTGAGTATCTTGGAGGTTGATTATGAGAATTCAATTAAATAATTGTGAATGAAGTACTTAATATCATGCCTAGTACATAGTATGCTAAATAAACTATAGCAATTAGTTTTATTTAGTTACTTGACATCTAATACATGCTTGGTAGGGTTACCTATTAGTTTTATGCCTCTAAATTTATAATCTTAATCCCAGAATTTTTTTCCGATTTTTAGTAAAATAAAGACAATATGTTGACATTTTATTTTGTTCTTTTAAAAATAGGCTTTAGAGCTTATTTGAATACTTAGGAATTTTGTCAGGATTATAAGAGATAGCTTTTTAAAAATGAATAGGCTATTCATAGATGAGCTGTAAGTAGTAGACAAAATAAAAAAACATTTATATGAATAAAGTTGTAAACTGAGGTACAGATTTTTAATATTTATTACATTAGGGGTTTTTTGCATTGCTGGAGAGCCAACCTAGGTCCAAGGCAAGCACTGTGTCACTGAACTATGTTGCCAGCCCGGTCACACTCAGTTTTAACAACAAAATTATATAGGTCAGAATTATAATCACTTTCACATGATTTCATTGAATTCTCTTAAGTTTACTCAACTTACTCTTGGCATTATTAATAGTCCATTTGGAGAAGAATTTACAAACACTGGGAGCCATGCAGATTTTATATTGTTTTGACATAGTGGTTCTACTTCAAGCACTGTATCCAAAGAAAGGAACCTATAAGATAAAAGATCTGTTTAAAAATGTTTATAGTAATTTTTTCTTTGCTATGGCTATATAAAAATATGCACAAGAAAGGAAACATTTTGCAGGAGAATGTAAATAAGTTATGTTAAGTGGGTTGGTTGATGAGTCATTTTTCCCCCTTTTGAAAATTTGCACGTATTCAATACTTGGGACATTAATGGAATTAAATGAATAGTGATACAGAATTCTTTTCCTTGGTAAATATTAAAATAGTTCCCAAAACTACTAAAAGAATGAAGAAGTTATAGGAATATTGTAAAATTATTTAGGGGCAACTTTTAGAAGAGTTCATTATAAATAGAAGAAAGTCTTGAGGATACTTTTCATATACATTATATCCCTTACAGCTTAGAACCAAGGTGACTGTCATTAAAATTAATATGTCGTGATATCTATATTATTATAGTGAAAGTGAGAGAAGAGAACCTTAAAAGAAGTCAGGGTTTAAAGGGTAGGACTATTTGTTTTTAATATGACTTCTTTTTATTTTAGAATTGATAGATGTCACGTGTACTCTGCTGCTTCTAAACCCAGATTTTACCACGGCATGGAATGTGAGGTACATAAATTTCCTAAGTGATAAGATGAAATTTGTGCATATTTCTGAAGATTTATGAGTTGTTAGATGTTTGAAAGATGAAATACAAGCCATTATGTCCATGACATCCTTATTATTTCTTCTACCCATCCTTTATATATCCATGACAGTTCTTATAAATACACTATGCCCCTTTTTGGATGTCTGTGTCTGATTTTTATAAATTTCCTTGCCTGAAAATTTTCATAATGAACTACAATATACTATTTGGTGCATGCTTTTATTTTCCTTCCTTTTGGGGGGAAGGGAGGTATGGGCATCTGGCATAACTGATTGGATTGTAAGACACTGATTGGTATTTTTGAAAAACACCGGCGCAGTACAAAGTGTGTGGGATGAAGATTCAAGGCTGCAGTTTTCAGTCTGTTTATCACTAACATTCTGACTCCTGTGGGCAAATCATTAGAAGTCTCTGACACTTAGTGTTTCAGAGAAAGATCATGTTTTTCATGTTATGTTCTTTGAGTTTGATTATTGCAGACTTTAAATGAAATACTTAATAGAAATACTACAGTTCAGAGCAGGATAATTTTTTTTATTGAATTTTTTTAGTTAACATGTATATGTATACACACATAAAATTCCACACATAAAATAAAAAGCCCTATTGAACATTCTGAATTATTTTAAATTTGCCTGTAGAAAAGAGCTGTGGATTACAACTCTATCTTTAAAGATAACCTTAATCATACAATTTCATTTTTGGTACATTTTAAGCAAGGCCACATTTTGAGTTACTGTTTTGTAATACTTACTAAATTTTGTATTTATAACTAATTAAGAACTTCGATGTCTTTTTCTTAATGTGCCTTTTAAATAATTATGGCCAGCAAGGACCCGAGTTCGATCCTTGGTACAAAAAAGAAAAAAAAAATGAATGGCCAGTAATGTAGAGTAAAGTCAAATGTATAGAATGAGAAATAAGGCTTTTAATTTGTATGTGATTTTAGAGCTCTGATTCTCTGATGGAAAGCTCTGCAGTAGGTAGGGAATGTTTATTGTGTGATTACTTTATTTCAGGAACTGTACTGCATTATTATCTTGTATGATCCATATAGTGTTTGAGAACATTTGTTTATTCATCAGATATTTATTTATTAATTACTGTGTGCTAGGTTTAGACACTGGAATGGAGCCATGAGCAGAACATACAAAAGACCTATTCTTGCAGAATTTTTATTTTAATAGTGGATGAAAAGTAATAATGACATTCAAAAGTAAAATATGTAGATCAAGTGGTGGTAAATCCTATGGAGAAGAGTGAAAAAAGAATGTAGAGAGGCCAAATAGAGGATGGGGAAGTGGTATTGCAAGGTTTTGTTTTTTGCAATGCCCAGGACCTGCACACAGCTATGTCTCCAGTTCTCCCATTGCCACCCCCACCCCCAACTTTTTGGAAACGGTCTTACTGAGTTGTCTAGGCTGGGCCAAAATTTATGAATCTCCTGCGTCACTGTCCCAGAATACTGAGATTACAGGATTGTGTCCCTACTCCCAGCTGGTGTTGCAGTTTTAAATGGGCATTTGAGTAAAGACCAACACAAAGTTAGGGATTAAAGCCTTGGCTTCTGGGGTAAGAGCCTTCCAAGTAAAAGAAACTACAGATGGAAAAGCTCTTGGTCATTCCTAAAGTGGCCCTGAGTGTTCCAGAACAGCAAAGAAGTCAGTGTTGCTAGAGTAGCATGAATGCAGAAAAAATAATAGGAGATGTGGTCAGAGAGTAATAGGCCAGATTTAGCAGTGTTCTGTACATGTTCATAAGTTGGTGCGTTAACTTTGACTTTTACTCTGGGTGAGAGAGATAGAAGGTCATTAAGGTTTTCCAAGATGAGAAGGGACAGTAGCTTAGGTTCCTGTGTGGGAGGTAGACTGTAGAGGTACATGACGGGGTGGTTTAGAAGTTAGGAAGAGGGTGCGGTGATTTACATAAGAAAAGATGTTGACTTAAAGAAGAGCTCAGCTGTAGCAATGCTGAGTAGCTATAAAATCTGCATAGATTTTAAAGCTATAGATGATGAATTAGCTGTAAGAGAATGGAATCAGGCTTGACTTTGGTTTTGCCCTGAGTTACTTAAAAGGGAGTTGACATATACTGAAAAGGAAATGTGTGGAAGAGGAACAGGATGCTGGTTAGAATTCAGGAGTTCAGTTGTGGGCATGCGAGTTTTGTGTCCCTCTAGAGGAATATTAATGTATAAGTTCAGGAGGAAAGCCTGGGCCAGGTAAAAATTTAGGAATCACTAGCATATAGATAGTTTTAAAGCCATGAAACTGAGATCTCCAAGGAATAGTTGCAGATAGCAAAAACAACCCGTTCAAAGTCTGAGCATTGAGGTACTCCAGAATTTTCTGAGGCCAGTACAGTAACCACTAGCTGCTCATTTCTGTTGAGCTCTTGAAATGTGACTAGTCTCCGTGGAGATGTGCTAGAAATATAACTGCACACCAGATTTTGAACACTTAAGTACCCAAAACAGTGAACTTTCTCATTTTTATATTACTTGCTGAAATTATAATGTTTTAGATATATCGAATTAAATAAATGTATACAGTATTTGTTTTTAATATAGCTGTTAGAAAAATTCTAAATCATATCTGTATTCACTTTGTGACTCACATATTTCTGTTGAGCTGTCCTGTTCTAGACTTTGCAAGATAAGGAAAAATCAGCAAAAAGGACTCTTAGGAAGATACTATGAACTTACAGTGTAGAGCTTTTGAAGGTTAGGAATTGTATCTTTTTTATTTTGTTTTGTTTTGATTTGCTTTGTTGTATTTTTTTTTTTCCTTATTTCTCTAATCCCTGACACCCAATAAATACAAAGTTTATTACCTGGCCCTAAAAATAAATTTAGTGAAAAAGAAATGATGGTATTGGGGAAGGAAGCATACCTCATGTTTTCACATTCTCTTCATTAAAATCCTTAAAAAAGGTTCTTGCTAGCAAGCCAGTCTGTATCCCTAGTGCTTGGGAGGCTTAGGCAGGAGGATCACAAATATGAGGTCAGCGTGTAGCAAGACCCTTCCTCCAAAAAACAAAAACAAGAAAGGGCAAAACAAGTTCTTACTAGCATGATGTATATAGAGACATTTATATCTAGCCACATACATGTCTGTATAAACATGTACACATACATTATTCATTAGATGTCTTTGAGGCTGTGCAGTATAGGGGAGAGAACCTGGTCTTTAGATCCATGAAACTTAATTTTGCTTCATCACTTAACTAGCAGTTGACTTGGGCAAAACCTTTAATTTCTCAAGAGGTTTTTTTTTGTTTTGTTTTGTTTTTCGTACCAGGGATCAAACTCGGGACCTTCTGCTTTCAAGGCAGGTGGCAGAACCACTGAGCTAAATCCCCAGCCCTCAAGAGTTTTAATTTATAAAATAAGGGATTTGAACTAGATTAATTTTTAGAATTCTTTCAAAACTGACTTTTTTGATTATGTGTGGTTTAGTTTCTTACGAAAAGAAATTGCTTCATAAGTCCACCTTCAGTGATGTATATATCAATTAATCTTGAAAGATCATGAAAGTTTTGTACTAGGTGAAAAAAGGAATCTTGATTTTTTTTTTTAATTCATTGCAGATGTGTGCTCTAGTAAATTTTGGTTTGTATTGACTGATTAACACAGAAAGACACAAAATCATGCCTGCATTTTTTGAGCAAAAAAAAAAAACAACCTTGGAAGCAAACTGGTCTCACCTTGTAAGGTCCTTGTTATAAAGCAAATACTCAGTACTTTGTGGTACATTTGGTATATTTCTTCTGCAGTAACCCTGGGAGACATTGAATGATTTTGACTATATTTTACAGACTTCTAAAAAATGATCCGACTATATTAAATCCTTTAGTTTTAAGTTTCTAAGTGTTACAATGTTGGGGGGGGGAAATAGAATAAATTTTTGAGCTGATCTACTGTGATTATAGTAAATGGTGAATAGTTTAAAAATCCCCCAAATTATTAAAAATGATTGTTTTTGTTTTGAATTTGCTTTGAAAGTTGGTGACTTACTTAATGACAGAGGTTGACTTTATAATATTGTCCTGATTTTTTTATGAGTCTGTGAACTTGAGAGTAAACAAAACATCTTTGAGCTACTAGAACAGCTGATACCAAACTCCAGTGATTCATATTCATATTGATTTAAACTGGTAATTTTATATTATGCCAATTTGAGATTTAGTTCTGATAATTTGAGTTAGGAAGCCTTGAGCAAATTACTGAACATCTCCAATTGTGTTTTTTTGTGTGTAAAATTGAGATAACACTAGGTTGAACCATTTCATTTTTGTTTTCTTTTGGTGTGGTAGATCAAAAATACTGTATTTAAATCTCAACACCTAGATACTGGTTTCTAACTCCATTAAAGAAACTAGGCTTCTTGGAGAAATAGATAATTCTAGGCTTAGGGAAGAAAGTATATTAAGATGATTGTGGTGCATCTTGTGGAGCTAGAAAGTAAGAAAAGTATTCAAAAAACAGTATAGTGGGGTTATATTAAAGGGACACATGAACCAGTTAAAAGAGCTTCCAGTAGCAAAAGCTGGAATGACTTCAGCAACAAAATATATACAGTAGTCCCCACTCGTGATGCGAGGTGTGTTTCCAAAGACACATAATGGGTGCCTAAACAGAACAGTACAGTTTTTTCCTACTAAGGGACTAATGGATTTATGCAAAATGGATACACTGGACAAAGGAATAATTCAAACCCAGAGCTATGCTGCATGAGATTTCATCATGCTATTCAGAACAGCATGCCATTTAAAACTTACACATTATTTCTGGAATTTTCGATTAAAAATATTTGAACTCTGCTTGACCATGAGTGAATTAAACTGTGGATAAAAGAGGGACTACTTTGACATGGTTGAGTTTATAACCCAAAATATAAAAATAGATACCCTTAAGCCCATGCTGACATAAAAGAATCAGTGAATAAATAAGGAGCCAAAA